GGAATTTTTATTTATTTATATGTATCGTTGTGTATATATATTTACTTTTTATTTATTACGCATTATCACGTATTATCACGTATTGTTTTGTATTACTAAGTATTATTATGTATTATTGTTATTGTAAGTATTGTATTATTATAGTTTTAAGTTACGTCTACAATGGTGTGGGCCTACAGGGGAGCCAGCCATTTAAAACAATTGGCAACGCGCCTATCACGGTACCTCTAGGGCGGCGTGGAAAACCGTGCAAAACAACCTGTGAAAATTTAGATCGCGAAGCTCAAATCGAGAAACCTGAAATGTATCATTGGTTTTGGTATGAAAAGGAAACAGTTCTTGAAACAACCGAAAATGCTATTGAAGAGGATTATGCAGACGATGATTACACAAATGCTGAGAAACTAGAAATGCATACAAGTTCCTTAATATCCTCGGTAGGCGTGCGGTCTTGTGTTCGTTTTTACTGCGTTGCTGAGGAAGTAGGTGCCGCCAGTTTATTAGAGTATTGCTCGGGTTTAATTTCGACACATTGGGATGATTTGACGCCACAAGACTTTGAACATATGTGCGGACCTTTGCTATTTAAAATGTTGAAGAGTAAAACAAAATATCCATTGGTAAGATAGTGGCTTGCGTAGCTCGCAGGATCGCCATGTAATGAATGTCGTGTTAGAAATTTGCGAATAGTGTGTAAGGTGGTGTGTCCTGAGTCAAAGGGGATTCCCTATGAATCCATTGCCAGTGTATAATTTCCTGAGTGCTCGGCTATTTCCGCCAAATCTAGTACTCTTTCAGCTGTCAAAGAGTGTCTATCTAATTTAAAGAATTCAATTTATTAATAGTTTTTGTTTGAGAAGTTCCTAAGATGTCAGGACAAACCCGGTTTGGAACTCGCAAATTGAACTCATTTTCTCGATTAATTTTTAATTACTTGTATAGTAAAATTTTACCCTAAATTTATTTAAAATTTTTCTTCAATCATAATATTAAATGCTGTAGTCAACACTTATTCTACATGGGGCAGTACCGTTTCACAACACGGCTGTACGGTGCTAAATACTGGATCGTTTCTAAAATCGAAATTTTCTTTCAAAGTATATATACCATCGAGTAAAACTATAGAAGATTCAGAGATATCGGACAATATGGCAGATTAAGTAAGCCAATGTGAATGGATGTGAACATTAGTATAATTAAGAAGTATATCATTTTTAGTGATGGCAGATTAAGTAAGCCAATGTGAACGGATGTGAACATTAGTATAATTAAGAAGTATATCATTTTTAGTGAAATTTAAATTATTATGACTACAAATACACTCAAATTTTAAAAAGTGTATTTAAGCTGCAAATGTGATAACTATTCCTCCGCATTTGCTATTAACTCTGTTTATTTAGTTGCGCTGATGTAAATTTTGTTCAAGTAAAATTTTTGAGCACTTTCAAGTTAGAAATTATAAAAAAGCTATCGTCACCAACGACAGTTGAGTGTTGATAAACCATCAAAATATTTACGTACACATTAACTGTTTTTAAATTTATTTCATCTGCACAATTAATCATCCTTATTTCTTTGGATCTTTTTAGCAGACTATATCTTATGTATAAGGCAGTCTACTCTATTTATTTCGCTATGTGAGCGGAGTTCAAAAATTTCTCCAGCACGTCCAAAGTTTCCAATTTAGAATGTTAAAACTATTTAGCTAGAAATTTTAAAAATTACAATTTTCTTCCTTTTAACCACTTTTCGGAATGGAGAGAGTGGCCAAAAAAGTGTCATTAGGTCAGAACATGTCAATGTGCCAAGTTTTTTCGGAATATCTAAAAAATTGCGAGCCGTAGCTTTGACACAAATTTACATGGAGGGACAGGAAGACTTAGATCAATTCAGATTATGATTCTGACTCGATCTGTATAATAAAATATGGGTCCATCTTAAGCCTTTCTGCGTGATACATACGTCCGCTACAACTTAATACACCCTATACAACAGATGGTATAACTAATGCAAAGTAGATTAAGAGAGGCAAAGAGCAAAAATGACGAAAATATAAAGAAAATAAATTCATAAATAAATAAGACAGAGAGAAAAAAACAGAAAAAAAAGATGTACCCATCTAGCAAAGAGACACACGCGCAGAACAAAAACTTTTGATCGCGGATTTAAAGAAGGTTTGCCATATAACATACATATAAATAGACAATTGAACTGATACGTTTTCCCTATTTCTCATGCCCTTAACTCCACCTCCGGTTCATAGATATTTTCCACTAACATCTGACGTGATTTGGCTCTTGCACGCATTTCGAGAAGGTTGTTCATTTTCATCTGTTTGCTTGACACCCTTGTGCAGGCCAATATTATGCTCAGCAATACACAAATCTCCACTATTGCCACGATTGAATTGCCTGCTAGAAAAGTTCCAAATTGTTCCCGTTATCTAAATAATCAAGACACGGTGCGGTGAAGCGACACATTGCCTCGTTCACGGGTTTCGGATCAAAGTATGCTAGATTATCCAAAGGATTCGGCAACACACAACACCTCAAAGGAATCAACCATTCCCTTTGACCATAGGATTGCATTTTCCACATAGATGTATTCCACATAGATGTATCGTAGTTAATGCCACTGTTCATACCACAACAGCCGAACGTTGTCTAAGCTAACTCGTATATTTACAATGCTTATTGTACTTATAATACGATTCTCTACGCGCATCTTCCAAATCCAATTCTTGACGCATTTAAAGTTTTGTTATCACTCTTGAGATATCTCTTAAGAGATCAATTAAACTAATAAAAATGACCAAAAAAAAAATCACAAGGCAATCCCTGACAGATATATTTCTTTTGTGCTCTAGAGACGTTCTCGTCAGAAACAATTAGATTTCCTTAAACCTTACAACAGTCGTTGAATCCTTTCTATTATTTTACAAATTTTAGTTGATGTGCGAGGTGTGTTCTCGGATAATATTTATTTATTGAACAATATATATATTGTCCCCTCTGCAAAAAGTACAGTTGTGCCAGCGCTTTCTCCAATCATCGAAGCACTTCTGATATGAGCTTTTTGGCTTGGCCTTGAGCTCTTTCCCGCGAAATTTGAAAAATCACCACACATCTCGTATGGTATACTTTAGTTTACGTACATCTGTCCTTGTCCCTCATCCTCTCTATCTAAGCTCGCCCTGACCGCAGAGTATAAAGGAGACATATTTTATGCGGCTGGTCATAAATAAAAGAAAAAAAAGTAAAACCTTTTAAGAAATATTTTGCTCAACACATTTATTATTAAAAAAATCATGTCAAACCAAGAATTGCCCTCATCTTCGTTGATTTCAAACATGATTTGTCCTTGCTGCCTATACTTGTATCCAAGGGAACATTTTGGAAGAAATTTCTCGAAGCATGTAGATATGTATTAATAAAGTTATGTTAACGTCAACTCGGAAACTTGCAAATAAATTTCTGAAATTTCATATTTATTTATTTTATATATATTTATTTATATATTTTATTTATTCCACTTATACTAGAAACTCAACTAAACAAATAGCAGTCGAGGTCAATAGGCTCTTAATGCAAAACTAATATTAATTAACAATAAAATTCAGTATAAACATAATAAAACAAATAAGAAGAAAAAAAAAAGAAAAAGAAAAAAAAGCATGTACACTATCAGCATAGGAGCACACTTACAACCGGTACAGGACCAAATTGCAAATGAACCCCTAAGCCATCGCAAACATGCATAAGCTTGGCAACCGATAATAGTTAACAACAATTCATTTTTGAATTATAATGACTTTTTAAGGTTAAAAGCAAGTTTAAGTTCGACATAGGTAAATCAAGCGAATTAAGTAATGTTGGTTTAATAGACTTTAAAGAGTCCGATAATGAGAATAAGTGGTAGACGTCATTTAGGTTCTTGCAAACGACTCTGAGCGGATTGAACAGCTCATAATTAAATTTACACTGATTAAGCTTAACCAAGATAAAATGCCTAGAGAAGCGGTTAGGGACATTAAAGCTTATTTCACCAAGTAATGAAGGCGAGTCAATAGCACCATTTATTACTTTAATTAGAAAGGAAACGCCAAGAACAAATCTACGTTTCTCAAGAGACGGTAGGGACAGCAGAAGCAACCTATTTTCATACGGAGGAAGAGAGGCAATCGGATCCCAATCCAAATTTCTAAGGGCAAACAGCAAGAATTGCTTTTGAACAGATTCAATTGAATCTACGTAGCACCTATATGAAGGAGACCACACAACTGAGGCATACTCGAGTATGGGTCTAACCAAACACTTGTACAGCCTTTTCGTAATGTAGGGATCATCAAGCTCTTTGGACCACCTTTTTATAAAACCAATATAAATTATATAAATTATAACCCGTTTTTAGATGACTTGTTAAGTGCTATCTTTGTTTATAAGAAAGATTAACGTGCTACACAAAATGAAACAACTGCAGTAGAGTGCACGCGTAGGAACTGATTTTTGTACAAAAAAGTGAATCAAGCTGCGATTATATTGCTCTGCGACATCAGTTAGATGCGGCTTAAAGAACGAGTAACATGTTCGTAACTTAAGAGAGCGCACAGTTAATAAGAATTACGATAAAAAAAAAAAACAAAACAAACCTTAGTGAACAATATTCTTTTATTTATGTAGCAGGAATTTAACTTTAATTGCTAAATAAATATAAGAAAGAATTCATTTTAATCATGACGGGTAAGCATAAATATCACTGCCCCGATGGAGATTCGGGTAATGAAACGTAAAATTAATAAAAATAATAAAAAATTTAAATAAATTTGAATAAAGATTGAACAATTCTTTAATTTCTTGATTCGTAATTAGTTTGCAGTAAAAAATTATATCACCATTCCATAAAAAATAGGGCGAAGATTAGGTCAGCAGAAATACCGACTTAGTAATGATTTTATACCTATAAATAATTCTAGGTTTGTGTGTGTTTGTCTTTCGATATTGTCTTCGTACAATTCTCCGTAATACTCTCGTCTTCTAACAGTAACAAACGGGTGCGTATCGTAACGCCTCGGCCGCAAATGGCTGTGCATTGACTCCAATCGCTCCATTGCGTAGTGGGACAAATGGGATCAGGCAATTCTATTTGCTTAAAGACGTAGTCCGGTTGCATGCATCTCTGTTTCTCAACGATGTTGATATGCGGACAACGTTTCCGCTCTAAGTGATTGATGAAAGAACGCGTTCTCATTGTAATACCGATGCCACAAGAAGCTGAACATTCAGACCATGCACTCCAATGTATATTTATAAAAAGACGACTACTGGGAGTCGTGAAAAACAGGTTTCTCCCATTTCCATTTTGTTTATAAAGCGTTCGCACCCACTAATTTTTTAAATTATCTCCTGACTCACTGCATTAAGTTTGGAATATTATGTGTTTTACCTCCTTTGCGAACAAACAGTTTAAGACTGTTTAAGACTGTTCAATGACATTTTATATACTTTCGATCCGGAATCTCGCTATGTTTTCAAAGTGTTTACAACTGTTTACAACTGTTTACGACTGTCTTAGAACAACTTAATTATATATCTTAAGTATTATATTATACTTACTAATGATCATTTTTTTCCAAAGTTTCTAAGCGATGTCCGCCGATTCCGATTATAAGATGTACCTTGAATATTGTGTATGCTGTTGTTGCTGAGCCGCTAAGGTTTGCAGAATTTGTTGCTGTTGACCATATGTAAACCATATGTATACGTAAGTTCCATATAATGGCTTCACGTTCGCGATGACTCAAACGGGGATTGACTAGTCATGTTTAGAAATTTCACCTAAATTAAAGACATTTATTTCCTTATTCATCGACGCATTCCTTACACACCTAGCTTACCTTTTACTAAACCGATCAGCAGCATTTGGGCTTCTGGACGACTCAAAATCCTTTCAGTTGCAATGTAGCGAAGAGGGACGACTTACTTTTCGTAGGGACGACTATACAAAAGTTATGTAGAAGTGAAGTGATAAGTTGAAATAATATTACTCAACGGTTTTTATTGAGAAAATTTAAAAAGTCTAAAGGTTGTCATATTCAAAATATAAATACTCAAAATAAGACGTTCTTTTGGCAGCGGCTGTAAAAGCAATCTGATATGAAACATATTCACCCTCGATCCAAAAAACGTCAATCAATAACACTTCATAAAAATGATTCAAAAATTGTGCCAAAATACTTCGTCGGAGATCAGTCAGACGGACAGACATATTTAAGCTGATTTAGAAAATGATCCGGAATCGATCGTTAGAATAGAATGTACGTTTATCTTAGGGCTTGAAGTGAATATTTACTTCACTTTCATTTGGCACATATTGCCTATTTAACTGTAACGTTTTATTTGGGCTCGTTTGAAAAAATCGCAATATGTAACGTTTAACAATCTCAATCGAACCAACTTTTGGGTATAAGTGCGACTGTATAGCTATACAGTTCTTGTGATTGGCTGGGTTCCAATAGCAGACAAAAAAGACTTAAGCAGTCCCAGCAAAGGTATTTAAATAAAATTAAAAGTTTAATCTAATTCTTTTTATCTTTATTGTTGCTATATTCGAAGTAGGAGTTTAAAAAAAATGTTTTTTTGCTCTTTTAATATAATAAATATTGTTTATAGAAAATATACTTTTATTGAATGATGTTTATTTTATTCTCGTGTGCGCAACCAATTCCTCTGCTCTTCTGATTTTCCTTTAGCTTAAGAGAAGAGATCACTAAATATGTCCTCTTGCGAATGGTGTGAGAAATGTCGGTGAGGTCTTCGCGATTGTTGCGACTGTCGGCTAGAGGGGGCTACGATATCGTTCATTTCGTGTATTATCCCATTAGTAGCCATAGCATCGCACTTAGTAATGCCAGCGTATGGTATTTTGGGACATCTTTTTTCTTTTTAATTGAAGATTTAATACTATTTGCATATTTGCATAAACATGAAATTTGCTACCTTTAGAGAATAAACATGAATTTTGCTGCCTTTAGAGAATTGTATAGAAATTCCAAATCATATTTTGTTTATGAACAGCTGTCGCATGTATAAAAATCCAACCACCTGAGGAAATACGTTTGTTTACATTTCTCGATAATTTTGAACGTATTCGTATAAAATTTGGTAATTATAGAGAGTGAGCGCATAAAATCTGGTAATTTCAGAGAGTAAGCGCATATATATTCTCAAGAATTTGTAAAAATGCCAAACAAGAAAGAATGTTTACAACTATTTTGTACACTCCTCAACTGGAGATATATTATTTGCCTAAAAATTGGTTAATTTTAAGATGAACATGGTAGACAACGCGACTAATTCTTTCTTAATAGATGTGGAAAAGTCCTTCGATATGGCCTGGTATGGTGGGCTACTTTTCAAACTTAAAAAATTTCTCTTTCTTATGTTTGCTAGTTAGCTTCTATTTGTAAACCAAACATTTCTACGTTAAAGTTGAAAATGATATATCAAAAACTGCTCATAGAGCGCTCCAGGAAAGTGTTCTAATTGTAATACTCTGTGCAATTTTTACTTCAGATTTTCCGGTAGCTGACGATGTTTTCACTGTGACATACACTAATGACACAGCAACCATATTTTCATATTTAGTGATCACATAAACGATTTCTACAAACTACAAGTTCATCTCGACAGAATTTCACTTTGGCTAAACAAATGAAATAAAGTAAACACTAAAAATTCTACGCATTATTACCTTTACGCTAAATAAGCGTTCTTGTCCTTCATTTTTTTTAAATAGCGGTAATACCACTCTTAACAATTGTTCAAAACATCTTACACACTGATCAAAGATTAACATGGAAAAGTCACATAAAGACTAAACACCAACAATTTCACTTAAATTCTAGGAACCTATTAGTTAATTCGTTCAAAATCTCAACTTAATTTAAGAAATAAAGACATCTTATGCAAGAAAGTCCTCAAAATGTGAGGAATAGTTGGTAACTCTAATTATTTCTTTTAGAAAGATTTTTGGAAAGATTAAATAAATAAATAAACATAAATTAAACATGTAATAAAAAAAACAAGTAAGAAAGTTCCATTCCGAATCCCGTGTACCCACCATCATTGAAATCTTTAGCGCCACATGGTTTGATTTATTGTCATAGAAAAGATAATGGGATAAGTTTTATCTTTCACTTTTTACTGCGCTAAAAGTTATTGCTTAGAAAAACTAATCTACCAGATCGTGACGTCCACCACAATTAATTTACAATTAATACACTTAGCTCGTCGTCGTCTACTCTCCAACTGCTTTAATTTGATATCCTTTTCGATCGAAAAATCAATCAGCCACGTCGTGGTGTCTCCCATATTTTTGTATAGAAGCAGATAATATATCTTCATTTGAGGAACGTACAAAATAATTTTAAACATTCTGTTTTGTTTATTCTATCATTAATAAGCATAAAACCTCAAAAAAGTGAAAAAAAGAGAAAACTTAATCACTTATAATTTTGTGTAGTCATGGCCGATTTTTTACATTTTTGCACATAAACAATAGTTCTTCGTCAAGCAAATGTGTTAAATTTCAGGTTTATATCTTTTATAACTTGTTGAGTAATGAGCAGAAAAACACAAAGTTTGGTTCAGAAGAATGGAGTTGCGTTCAGTTTAAGTGGGGTCATTCTCTGACTAATTTAGCCCGTTTTCAGTAACTGCGTGCAAAAATTTCCAATGTTTCTACCAAATTTGAAGTCGATATCTTGATTTTATCGACCAGGAGAGCGTCAACAACACGTCACGCAGATGTGTTACTGGCACATTAATCTGTTAGCTTATTATGCTATTTTATTCTTAAATAAAGTCAAACAGAAAAATCTAAATACGCTTTAGTTTCGACGTTTGCATCTATGTCCATTTGAATTGATTAAGAAAACGGAAGGATGTCTTTCGATGTGTTTATTTTATATCGTTTACGCTCTCTTGTTTTTCCCCGATCATACATTGTGTTTGCTTTTGCTATTATGTCCAGATTAGCGTAACATCTGGCTTCATTCTTCATGAATAAATAGAAAATAAGCGTTATCTAAAAATATTAATATAAAAGTGACCTCGGATGATTTTAAAGAATGAAATTTATTATTATTATTATATTTTTTTAGACTTATGAAATAAATTCTTAGAGTAAATAGAAAGCTTTCAGCACCAGCACAGGTATCATCTTTATTGTAGGAAAGAAAATTAGATATTGGGCCTACTACTTTCAATATAGTAATATATTGTATTAATTGTCACCAAATTCAGAGTCGCTTTTTCAATGCAACACGTTGTCGCCAAGTAGACTCGCTCTTTCAATTCTTTCGGAATTGTCACCAAATTCGGACTCGCTTTTTCAATCCTTCTCAATAGTCATCAAAAATACTTTGCAATTGTAAGGTACCTCATGCGATTAAGAAGTTAACAGAGCGAATAAATAAAATAAAAAAAAACCGTTCGTATGTAAGTTTGTCTTTACCGCACTCTTCTTAAACGTTTAATACCTTATGGTAATGAGAGCGACATTAGATATAATATCAGCAAATAGGGAAAACAGCGGGTTGGTTGCCCGTCGTTATACATACTTCCACTTTGACTTCCACGAAGTTCATTTGCCAAGCCCGAGACGAGACCAGTTTAAGTTCACGTCTTCTATTTTATTGGATAAATCCGTTAATATCGAAAGGGTGCTGCTGGCAATCTAAAGCGTTCGATCTACTGGATGCTTTAGATATATCTCGAATTAGTGAACTTTTTCAAACTCACAAACTAACATTTAAGTCATTGAATTCAAAGTAAGATATTGATTTTTTATATTGGCATTAAAAAGTAAATTACACTTGAATTCGCAGGTATGGCTTAATCAATTTAGAATTTCATGTTCATCAAGAATATGTATACTTTAGAGTCTCTGAAGCTTCCTTTTGGGTGTTGCGAACAGAAACAAAATGAATATACTCTCCATCCTTCAGTGGTAGATATAAAAAAATATCTTATAATGTAAACGCATATGTCAAATTAGGCTGCGTTTCGAGCTGTAAAATGCAGGGCATTGTTAATAGGTGTGTCAGATATGTCTTCAATTAAATCAAATATAATACAATATTTCAGTTTTCGCTTAACATTTTGGATGCCGATGCTCCACCTTGCCTTAATATGAAAAACCTACTTTTTCAACATCCAGTGAACAACAAAATTAAATGCCTTCAACAACTTCAAAAACACAGCGTCATTAATATTGAGTTTTTTTCGTATAAGGAAGGATATAAACAAAATAGGGGGCATATTAATAAATGGTGATATTTGGTGGTGTTTCTTTTTTGCTTAATAACGCCATTTGAACGTTTTAATATGTTTCGTATAATTTTTCTTGTGTAGAAACAGAGATCTCGCTCCAATCTTCTTATAATTTATTTTCCAGATCTTTGACGGAAGAGATTGAGTAATTGTTAGGTGATTTATTTTAGGCTGTACATCAAGTCTGTGCTTTTCTTTCGCTCTTATATTATACGTTATGTCTTGTTGTCTATATCTTTGTCTTTTCTGTTGTTTCCAAATGTCCCGATGCGAACTCTATAGTCTTACTGTCACATTAATTTTTAATTGTAACAATGAGCGTTATTGTATAATTGAGTTTTTGTTAATAATTATTAATTAATAAATGAAATTCAACTTAACTAAAGCCACGGGCAGCTTGCTGCTTGTGCTGTAAAAAAAGTTGTGTTTGCTGTATGTGTAGTGAATCGTCGTTGATGACCGCATAATGCTTGGTTTTTGTTCATAAAATTGTCTAAACATCAAATTTGCGAGATTTTTGACATTACAGGAAGGAGTTTGCTTGTATATACACTGAGTGTCTAAGTGGCTTACAAATTTTCGAATGTATCTCGTTCTTCCGCACCGTTATTATTACTGTTTCCCTTGTTAGGACTAGTGTGAGTTGTAGTATGAGTAGTATGAGCAGGGGATGAAGGGATTTGCGATAATTTAACATTTGTTTTTGAGCCAGAGCGAATAAATATGTCAGATCAGATTTGGGTTGTGTTTTCATTGTATTCTTGAAAAAGTCACTAATCGAGCCTATTGGCTTTTTCTACGCATTCAGAGGCGTTACGTTTTATGTCGCAAAAAAATGGCAAAAAACGTGAACTATTATTATAATACGATGGATAACGCGTTGACCAATGAAAAATATTGTGACAATACATCCTCTGGTGTAGAAGACCTGTAGTCATACATTGTCATTGTAGAGTAGGGCTGCTATAAAGAAAGTGGATAATAGAAATAGAATATTTGTCTAAATTTTATAACTTATATTGAATAGTGAGGTAATGAAATTTGAACATATAAACGATTTCAATCAAATAGTGACTATATTCCTTCACAAATCCTTCTATTCGTCTAATATATCTGCACTCCTATATGAGACTCTAATACATATGCATGTACATTTACTACCTTCACGCTAATACATGTCTTAAATTGCTGTTGTTACTCTCATTGCTCTGTATCAACTTAAAATTATTCGATAATAATAAACAAAATCCCAAAATATTTAAAATAATAAAAATCTTCTAAAAAATAAAGTGCCATAAAATGAAATAAGAAGCCAATTAAAAAACAAGAAAATACAAAACTTCTTAAGAAATGATTTTGGTTACGTCGCAGACGCGAGAGGGCGCAAAATTAATCATTAACTTTCTTAAGGCTCGTGCAAAGAACTTTATGGTTGAACCTATTCTGTACAGCCCAACGAATCATCTATTGTTGAAGAAAAATTATTAAATGAAAAATAAGTAAGAACGTTACAGTTGTGGTCTGATTTTCATCATGAAGCGTTGAAAATTAGATCTTTTTGTTATGTATACTTCAGTTTCGTTACATGAGATAGAATTTTATTCTATGTAAAAACATTCCAAAATATGAGGTTAAACTGAGAACATGTTTCATTCAAAATTTTGCTCACTTCACGGAAATTACAACATTGGTAAAGCGATTTTTATTAGCGTTCCGTTTCTATGAATCGCTGTTTCCATTACCGTCACTAGCATTAGACTTCTCTTTAGTTTTATCAGTCGGCCTCTATTCCAGACGTTTCAGTAGACGGATGGGAACGTATTACTATGTTGCGCAAATTAAAAGGTTGCATCTGTGCTTTATCCCGGGCCGAAGAAAGTTTCGACTGTTGATAGCATATGTGGGCCGCGATAAGCACCAAGGATAAGGCAAACGTGATTCCCAAAAAGGATGAGGCAACAAGGCAATACAACGTTCCAAGCCTTTGTTCGGCAATTATGCTAGAAGCACATAATCAAATCCAAACGAATGGTCGGTTTTCAAAATAAACGGTTTCGTAATACGTGTAACAGTGAAATCCGTCTGAAAAGCAATTTCAATCCTACGTGTACCGTTCGTTTTTAACTCAAACGGCGAACAATCAGCTATACTAAAACCATAACCGGTACGTGCTGATCATCTATAAATATTTATTTTATCCAAATAGGTAATTCTCCAGAATTACGACCCGTAAAGACGCGTTTTGCTAGAAGCTGAAAGGCCAAAAACGAACATATAAATCAATTTTATTCTTATTATTCATATGAGAATGTACCTTGTGTGCAACATCCACACCAACCTTACTTAGATTTTGTGTCGCAGAACAAACGCGTTCTATTTGCAGTTCGCTTATTTCAAAGAGGAGCGGATTTAGTGAGCCGGGCTTGCGATTACTTAAACGAAATTATTGCTTACATGCAGCAGAGTGCAATAAGTTCCCGTAGAGTGAGAACGAAATTTAATCTGTGAGATAACAACTTGGTGCAATTACAAGAACTTCAAACGGTAAAGAAAGTTGCGTTTGCTTTGCTAGTGACGGATCTGCTAAAAAATAATTAACCAGTATAGGAGTGTCGGCCGGATGCGTGATTGTTACGACATACTCCTGCGTTTTATTTACTTCTGTGGTAGGCAGTACAGCAGCACTACCCACTAATTGTGGCCATTCTAATTCATGATGAGATTCATTTGAAATTGAACTGAATCTTTCGTGGTCATGACAAAATCGATATTATGAAAATACCATTTAAAATGATGATACAATTCGGTCCGTCGTCTCCATTCGACTTCATCAAAATGAGGAATGTGAAGATTATTGCCTTTAAAATTGTTAAGAAACGTGACCACCTCATCTGTATAAGGAAATATATAACAACGTGAACCGCACAAGAGGGCCGGTACGAAATAAATTCGTCCAACAGTAGTAACTGCTTCAGGAGATATTTTGGAACCATATTGCTGGAAATCTTCCAATCGAAAACCCAGTTCCGTAAAATTGATACTACATATGTGCAAAGGATATTTGTAAGTTGAGCGTATACTCAGTTCGGAAGAGCAAAGTTTACCCTGAAATAACGTCGAAAAAAAAATGATTGCCATATTAGCCAAGAAATTGCCTTCAAAGTAATCGTAGTCTTTAATAATATTGAAAAAAAAAATGCCCGAATTGAATAAGACCTGTTTGTCTCCTAATAAAGTATAGATTTTAATATTTTTGCTAGGAATCCACGAAATTTTTCGTATGGACCACGCAATTCAATGACGTCTGCAAGCAAATTCGCTAACGGTCTCCTATTTCTTGTAATACGTTCAGAATTAAATTTTATCTCATACGTTTACACTCTTTAACATCACCCAATAAACAATTTATGTATTCCATCGTCTGCACCGGGCTACCGCAAAGTAATTTTGCCGTCTAATGTAGCTAAAAGGAATTGCATGTATATTTTATATCTGGGACGGTTATAGAACTTTCAATGCAAGTGAAAATATAAAAATATGATTTATATAAGATGAATAAAATATATATGTGGTTAAACAGTGTTCATAGCAAATCATTTTTATAATAAAACAAATAAAATAATTGTAGCTGTGGTAGTCTAGACCACCCTGACGTTATTCGAATTTTGAAAATAAGGTGTTAAGGTTTGATCGAAAAAGTTTTTCCGAACTGAACCATTTTCAAGATTTATTAGTATACCAAATTTTATCAAAATGACTCAAATGTCGCGGCCTGTAGGTTGAACATGAAACAACGACAACGATAGGCAGACAGACAAGCTTAGATCGGTAGAATAGAAGATGGGTCTGGTTGGCTTACATCCGTACAATTTTAATATATCCTTGTATCGCAACTGGTGTAGGGTATATAAAAATAGTAACTTTAAATGGTGAATGAAATCCATAGATCATAACGAAAGTTAGTCAATGGATGCAGCTAAGTCTTTCTCTATTAACGGTGTTATGACATGTAATACCGTGATCAAAAGTTTCACATTAACTTATGCTTAAACGATGCGAATTTATAAATTTATTTATGAAATCAATTTATGCCGCTTGGCTACTACAAATATCCCGTAATACACATTTTCTATTCACCTCATAGCCAAATATATTTTATAAAAAAAAATTTAATCAAATTCAAACGAATAATTAGTTTTCTACTTGTGCAAAAACGGGAAAAATCGGCCATGCTCTGTGAATATATCGGGAAAACATTACAGGTTAGAAATATACACCTGATTTTAAAGATAGATTAACGAACAATGCACCCATACCGCTAAAATATCGATTGATTTCACTATATATTTAAATATTGTTAATTCCAATTTGGAACCTCAAAGATTATAGTGTAAAAATAGTTAGTTTTCAGTACTTTTTCAACGTTTTTTCCCAAAAACATTTGACAGGCAGCAAAGAAATAGAACCAGATGCATAATTAGTATAACAAGGAAAAACTGCAGCTAAAGATAGCAATCACAAGAGAAACTTTGTAGACAAATCAACGATTGGCGATAGGCACGACGAGATATACTTATGATCAAAGAAGTTAATATCAAGCTGACTGTTCGGTGCGTTGTCCCCTTTCTTGGCTGCTTTCAAATTGTGCTGTAAGCTGTTAAGAGGGCTGCCAGAAACCATTGTCTCTAATTTAATTTCCAAATGTCGCTACAGGTGATTGGGGCTTTTTTCTCCGCAGGTGTTGGCGGCGGCGGAGGTGGCGTTGTCATCCTAACATCTTTAACTTTAGATAAGTTCATGCCGAGAGGCAATCTAGAACTATCTTAGAACGTCTCTGTTTTTTCGGGCTTATCTAATTTCTGCATCTCATCACCATCGTAACTGAACATCGCGCCTACACCATTTTCTATCATCACCTCTAGATGTATAGCATTTGTATTTGTATATGTATAGTGTTTTGGAAAATACGCGAACTAAACTTATTTAATTTTACAGGTTAGCTTAAAATTAGACCGCCATAATGTTTTTTTATTATCAGGTTAAACAAAGCCCTCGCTAAATTCCCTGTTGAGAGGCAAAGCACAGAGTCGCTTATAATAAATAAATGGTTAAATGCCAAGCTAACAACTTAAATGCCATTCAGTCTGTTAAATGCCCAATAATACAATAAATACAATAATTATTGTAATAAATACAATGAACTTCCAGTATTAAATACTAATTATTAACTTCTAACAATTAAATACTAATTATTAACAATTGCATTTTTTTTTTGTATCGATTTACCTGAAATAACAGTCCTGTGCTTTAGAGTTTATTTTTAATGAAAATGGGGAACTTTTGCCGACGGCTTTGTAATTAACATAAAGTTTACGTTCTTTCTGTAATTAGCATAGAGCATTACGTTCTATCTGTAAATTTAGCAGAGAATTTAATGTTGGCTTTGCTTGCTTACCTTTAGGTGTAGATTAATGTAAATTAATTTAAAGTTAAAAAAGTAAAGAAAAACCGCAATTTTATGAACGGCTTGTATATAAACGGTTTATTTATTTTCTAAATTTTATTTATTTGTATGCCTAATCCACTACTTATTCACTACTGCTGTTGTTTTTGTTGTTAAATTGCCAATTTGTTTGTTTGTTTGTACAGAAGAGAGAGAATTTGGAGCAAATGGGTAAAACCCAATTTGAAGATTGCCCCGTGGCTCTGAGAAAAAATAGATAAACTTATTAACGCCTATGCCATCCTTATTATTAATTCATTTCCCATTTTTCAGTGGAGCACTGGAGTACTGAAGCATACAAAAAAGTTAATCGTTTTCAAAAAGTGCCTGCCATAGTTGATAATGATGAAATTTGGTGGGAGGACTATTGTCTTCTCCATATTTGGGTCCGATATTGGCTTTCGGCAATGATAAGCAAAAAAAAGAATTCATCACTCCATAACCACTTTTGTGGGGAGACAATTTGTGAAACTTTTATAGAAATTGGTTTATTAATATTGCTTAAAAGTATAAGAAATAAATTTGTTGTTGCGATTTGCATCAGGATTCTGAATTGTTATAAATGCCGACGGCAATTTGCATTTTTCATTTTGCAATGCCCACGGCAATTTGCAATGAATATGTTAACAGATTTCCTGAGTTATAAAGCTTTTTTAACAGGTTTCCTGAGTTATAAAGCTCTTTTAACAGATTTCCAGAGTTATAAAGCTCTTTTAACAGATTTCCTGAGTTATAAAGCTGACGGCTTTGGAAATTAGCATAGAGTATTACGTTCGCTCTGTAAATTAGCAAAAAATTTAGCTACTGTTTTGTTTAATTTGATGATAAAAAAAACTTATGGCGGTCTACTTTTAGGCTAACTTGTAAAATTATTATTATTATTATAAATTTAGCCAGAGAATAAATTCTAAGATAGCGTCAAAAAGAATTTTGTACAACTTAACAGAAAACAAAGGTTCAACTCTTTTAAATAGCAATTTATAGCAATTTTTCATTAGTGTTGTTAAGCTACAAATGCGTTATAGCGTTTTTTGTATTAAATTTTTACGGACTTAGAAGTGGCAACGCATTGATAAATGACCTTAGGCTAAAAATGAACAAAACACAATTGAGGAAGTGTCTTGTGTATACTAGATAAGCATAAACATAATTATAAAATGATGTTCAAAATATAATCGTGCCCCTAGGGATGACTGGTGGACTATTATTTATAATTGTGCAGCTTGTTAAGAAAAAGAACTGAAATTATTGGTTTTTACTTTTAATTTGATCGCTACATTATTTTTAATTTGCGATATATGAAAATATGGCCAAATCGGTCGCAATTGAAACACTGTTTAACAGCAGGGATAAAATAGTTTCGGCTTAAGAAGCCTGGCGACGGCTTTCAACCTTACTTTAAGCGTAAACCCTCCCCCCTCGCTAAAGTCTAGTGTTTTAGAAGAATTTATTTTGGACAACATAAACGTGGCAAAACAAATTGGGCTGGACGTGCGGGCTGTAGTGTGTGACCGGAATAAGTGGTACGGCAAATTTATGAAAAATCTATCGCGTGGAATAGTACATTTAGGTCTAGGAATAGGAATATTATCATGTTCCAGAGTTGGTGCAATTCTTCAACAACTCCATGACAGGCATCCTGGAAGCGGGAATCAAAGAAGGTGTTCTCAAAAGCGACACTGAAATGGCAAAGAGGACCTGCAAATTGTTCAAGGCAATAACCAGCTTCGTGAACATATTTCACCGAAGCTCTATAACCGCACAAAATGTAGAAGAGGTGAACCAGCATTTAAAAGAAGTCACCAACGACTTACTGCAGATATACAAAAAGGACCCCACTACCATTGCCTTAGAAGAGACCGCAACGAAGTTTTCAAAATTAATGGTAGATTTGACTAAGGCTTACCATGGCACAACTTTCACTTCATTCAGGGTAAGCCAAGACCTCCTTGAGGCATTCTTCCTAAATATTGCCAAATCGATTCGAAAGAGGACCAGATCGCCCCCCGAGATCGTGCAGTTGTGCAACCGCCTGAGAAATCTACAGGTGTTCAAATATAAAACCGGACTTAAAACAGACAATGACTACCGGTTAACAAACCTCCTTGATTACGAAACTGAAGAAGAGCCCGAAGAAGACTACGCACCGTTCAGGCTCGATGGAGAGGAACTTAAGAATCTCCAAAACCATAAACTTAAATACCATGAAATAAGGTTTCTCAGACTGTACGCCGCCTCCAGATTAAGTCACTATATCCGTGAGCAGCTAAATTGCAGTCACTGCCTACACGACATGACGGACTTCGACTTCTGCGAAGAGGTGATGGGTGAGAAGGTGACGAACGACCCCATAGATACCATCATCCTAACCAACAAACACATCAAGCCGGCATTCCCAAAACGGTAAACGGAGCATTCGACGCTGCGTATGAAATTTTTTATGCTGTGATGCGCAAATATATGGTCGAGGCAGATATAGGGAAACGTATACAAGCTACAGAGGTAGCGAATATTGATTTCTTTAAATCACTTGGATCATGCGTTACCCACACGATGCACCGACGAAATTTGCTTTGTTTCATCCTGTCATGCAACACATGCATAACAAATGAGAACGAATATACGCTTATTCTCAAAGCGGC